GCAGGTGAGCAATGGTAACGGTAACAGCATACGGGGGCGCGTCGAAACTAATATACGGGGGCAGGACGGGAAATACTTCAATAAAAAATTTTCAGATCGAAAATTAAGTTGCATGGGTGAGCCGGAGTCGTTTGGGGACATAGACATCGCGACGCCGGAAAACTCTTAGATTCCCGGGTTCAGGGTTCTACCGGGGAATCAACAGTAAAACGAGCCCGTTTAGTAAATTCAATCGTAAATAATCCTCGTGAAGATTTACTAATTGAGGAAGATTCTGACCATATTAACATGAAATCCTCGGCGCCGATCGTGTCCATTAGCATTCTGGGCTGCCAGTTTCCCGCTTTAGTGGACACAGGTAGCGAAATATGCGCGATCTCCGCTTTAGTTTGGAATACCGTCGGGGAAGGGAATCGGGTACCTATATTTCCGGTATCGGGGGTTAAGGTTTCAGGAGCATTTAAAAATAAGTTGCGTCGGATAACGCACCAAGTCTTGCTGCCGTTTTCGCTTAATAATTTTAAACTCGAGTTTGAATTTTTGTACATCCCCGATTTAGTTTTTCCGGTCGTTCTGGGCTGTGATTGGCTTAGGTCAGTCGACGCAGTATTAGACCTACACGGAGAAGTGTTAAAAATTGTATACCATAACGAACCGATACAAATCCCGGAAGTTAAAAGCTCGGAAATCCCTAAATCAGTTTCCGTATCGATGAAGGTCGTTTCGAAAAACCGTTTTCCCCATATTTTAAATGTAAATAATGTGAGTAGTTTAAATGTAAATTTTAAAAATATAGTAGAAAATTTAGAAATTTCTGATGGTTACAAAACCAAATTTTATAACGTACTGGTTAAGTTTAAAGATATCTTTTCGGATAAGCCCGGACTGACTTCAGAGTATACACACGAAATCCTCTTAGATGACGAAACACCGTTTTTTCAGAAACCATACCCAATCCCGCATGCGCATCGCGCAGCCGTGCAGAGGGAAATTGATAAGATGCTAGAATGGGGGGTAATTGAACGTACCACTGCGGCGCCGTATTGCAGCCCACTAGTGACTGCGGTTAAGAAGGACGGCAGTGTTCGCGTTTGTCTAGACGCTCGTTTCCTTAATAAGCGTATGTTGCCTGACTCCGAGTTGATCTCACACATTCTTATTTCCAAATCCCGTTGCGTTCTCGGGACAAAAAATTTACCGGGTTTTTACACGGCACTCAGACTTACCGCTTTACAGTGCTCCCTTTTGGGTTGAAAACCGCGATATCCTCGTTCTCAAGGGCTATGAGCCTGGTGCTGGGGCCTGAATTTCGCAGTTTTGTTGTAGCTTACGTGGACGATTTGGTTATTATCTCCGAAACGCTCGAGGATCACATCAACCATTTGGACCGCGTGTTCGCGCGGTTATCTAAATCGGGATTCACATTAAGACTAAAAAAATGCTAATTTCTGCGCACAGAGATGACATTGCTAGGTTACATTATCAACTCAGAGGGTATACATTCAGACCCATCGCGGGTACAAGCGATACAGGATTTTCCCGTGCCCAAAAACCTGAAACAAGTTCAGGCGTTTTTGGGCCTGTGTAACTATGATCGTAGTTTTTGTGAAAATTTCTCGGTCCTCGCCGAGACAATTTTCCGGTTATTGCGGAAGAAGTCCGGTTGGAATTGGGGTCCGGAGCAGCAAGCCGCATTTAAAGAGCTAAAAGGGCGCCTATCCCAAAATATACTGTTGTTTCACCCGGTCCCAGGGGTGCCCTATGGTGTACAGACTGATAGTTCGGATTTCGGGCTAGGAGCGCAGCTGTTTCAAGAGATAGGAGGACGAAAGCAAGTAGTGGCTTACGCTAGTCGCCTCCTTTTAAACCGCGAGCGGGCGTATTCAGTTCCCGAAAAGGAAGCTTTGGCGGTAGTGTTCGCGCTAAATAAGTGGAGGGTTTACCTCTTAGGGGCCAAATTTTCTATTTGGACTGACCATAGGGCTCTTTCTTATTTGGGTACTTGTCGGCTCTTGGCACCCCGCATCACACGCTGGATTCTAGCCCTGCAGGAGTTCGATTTCGATATTAGATATATCCCCGGGAGAGATAACGTCATACCCGATATCCTCTCGCGAAACCCACCTTTGCGACCATCGGCCCCAGCTGACAAGTGTTTCAAAATCTTGGCCACTTCGGTGTCTTTACCGAAGAAATTTTGCCGGGACCTACCCTCATTGATCCAAGCACAGCGATCCGATCCTAAACTTTCGAAGATTGTTGAAAATGTAAAAGACGCCGCGAGTAGCGAAAGTAAATTTATAATTCATAACGATATTCTTTTTATGCGTCGTTCAGAAGACCAGCCCTGTCTTATTTGCCTCCCTAAAGTTTTAGTCCCGGAATTTATCCGCGCTTTTCACGAAACATTAGGCCATTTCGGGATGTTCAAGACTTGGGTGGCTCTCAAGCGGGAGGTTTGGTGGCAAAATATGCACCGTGACGTCAAACGGGTGTTGAGATCTTGTGATTTATGTCAAAAAACTAAGCATTCGGTCATGCCTAAACCCCCTATGGGTTCTATATTGCCTAATCAGGTGAACGATTTTCTATCCGTGGATTTCTACGGCCCGCTGCCTAGGTCTAGAGCCGGGGTAACATACATTTTCGTGGTTTTGGATGTATTTTCCAAGTACCTGAGTTTATATCCCCTAAAAAAGGCTAATACCTCCAGTATTATTCGCTGTTTGGAACACGATTATTTCCCCAGTTTTGGAAAACCAGCTGTAATCCATTCCGATAACGGAACCCAATTTATTTCCAGGCAATGGGTAAAGTTTTGCGATGTCAACGGAATTAAAATTTCACATAGCTCCGTCAGGCATCCCGAGGCTAACCCCGTGGAACGCAGCATGAGGGAGCTAGGACGTTTATTTAGGGCTTACTGCCATACCCGACATACAAGTTGGGCGTTAGAAATTCCTCGATTCATTCAGATAATCAACTCTGTTGTTCACGAGAGCACGGGTTTTACGCCTAGTGAGTTGCAGACCGGAAAGCCTTCTACTTTATTGCTTCGCGAAATTATTGATTTCCCAAAAGCACCCGCCGGTCTAGATTCTCATGTTAAATTATTTCTCGCTAGGGAGGCATTGCTTTCCAAAGCAGCTAGGCGCCGCGCCGCCCAAAAGTAATTAGTACACCCGGAGCTAAAGCTAGGGGACCTGGTTCTCCTAAAAGCGAACCCCATTTCTTCGTTTCTTAACGCCGAAACTAAGAAATTCATGTTGCTGTTCGAGGGCCCTTATAGAGTTAAAAAACACGTAGGTCCGCCCACCGTTATTTTAGAAAATCCTACTTCTGGTGTGGAGCGCGGTATGTTCCATGCCTCTCACGTTAAAAAATATGTTGGGCAGGGCTAAAAAATTAAAATTGATAATACCTTGTATTCCCCTGTTTTTGTGACGTCATACAAGGTAGGGGGCAGGTAAAGCGAAACGCTTTCACCATAGTAGGCAACCACGACTGCATCGGTGCATTCATAGTTGCCTATGCGCTTAACACCTCGTTATTTGCATTTGGCGGCAAATAACCATATATTGTGTTTTTTTAAACACTTTTAGACAGCCATCTTACTTATTAAAATCTGTTAATCGATCAAGATCCTTGTTTGAAGTTACCAAGGGTATAAAAAGGAGTAATTCTTTTTAAATAGTTCGCCGAGTTAATTTCTTGGTCTAGGTAAGTTGTTGTTTGCATGGTGTGGGGTTAGTGGAGCAAAGATGTTAATAATTTTGATTTCTAGATCGGTTTTGCTATATTGAAGACGTTTGTAGACTGTAAAGTAGAATTGGGAGGTCTTAACTGGCAGCCCCATACAATAAAGCTAGGTGTTGTAGTGCATTGTATTTATTTATTTCTACACTTTTCGAATCCCCTTACACCCTGAGATCACCGGAGTAGGACACTCATCGTGTTCCGGTACAATACCATTGCGGTCAAGATTAAGGCTGCATCCGATAGGAGTAAGAACACTTATAACCTTAGGCGTAGAGCTGTCCATTACGCGGTAGGCGAAATGGTGTGGCGTCGAAATAAAGCTATCTCTAGCGCAGCGGTTAGTTTCAATTATAAACTAGCCCCAAAATTTGTTGGTCCATTTAAAGTGAGTCGAAAGGTAGGTCAGTGGGCATATGAATTGTCGAATGATAGTGGGAAGATTTGTGGAGTATGGCATGTTCAGGATCTAAAGCCTTATGCCTTTTTAACGGACGAGGATACGTTTTCATAGTTCTTTTTGATCAGGCCGACGTTGCTTTTCAAGCAACCGTCGCTACGGTATGCCCGGCCAAACCGTATTGCCTGTAGCTGCCAATCCATAGACATCATCGGGTGGTTTCATCGGTTGCGGGAGTTGTGAATGCTGGGAGAGCGCTTCGTTTGGCGCGTTTTTTTTTTACCCTGGATCATGTCGTGTTTTAGTTGGGGATTTCTTGGGTTAGTTAGAGTATGTCGCCGGCGCGCCGAATTCCATCTCGGAGCGATGAGTACTCTGACGACCAGGCACATAGGTTGATTATTAAGAATTAGCCGGTTAAAAGTGAAATTTCAAAAGAGCAGTTATAAATATCAAAAAAATCACAGGGCCCAAGGAATGCCATAGTAACAATAATTTACCAACCCCACTCCCATATCTTTGACAGTACGAGCGCAATGTCAGTTAAAACTTGGTAGACGTACAAAGTGCGAGTCATTGTTTTCAGCGTTTTCAGTGTAAACATTTAAACAAAGTGAAATTTTGTAATATCTTCCTAAGCTTTTGAGGTGATTGTGATGGATTTAAATAATTCAGGTAAGAATCGATCATTCTTTATATTTTTAAACGATCTTTAATGTTATTTTATATTATTTGTAAAATTTTAAAAAAAGGTTGTTTTGTATTGAAATGTTTACTTAATTTTTATGTTTATAAGACATTAAGTTATATAATTGCCTCCTCTTGAGCAATGCTTGTTATTGTATTGTTTACTTTATGTATTAGGCTAATTCATGACATAAAATTTGGGTGCGGATAGCTGCGGATGACAAACTTATTATGTGTTTTTATGAATGACATCACAAAACAAAGAAAAACAAATTTTGTTTTAAATGGACTTAAGTGCGATTTTCATTGTTTTAGGTATACCGGGTACTTCAGGTAGAAAAATAGTGAGCCGTAAATATCTTTATGATCTAATGCAGCAGCAAGATTTGCCTAATTTAGATGAAAAAATTGAATATCTGGAAAATCACCTGTTGGCCTGTATTATTGAAAAACCAGATAATCTAAGCAGTTTAAAACAACGATTTTGGAACTTTAAAACATCAATTAAGAAAAAATGGTCTAAAGCCCATAGAAAAGAAGCAGTATTTCTTAAAAACAATGAAGCTTGGTTGGACGGAACATTTGAAATTTCAGGCAATAAACAAACGCGACCAGGTCGGCCTTCTAAATCATTTGAAGATTCTTGTGAGAGGAGTAAAAGAAGAAAAACAGAAGAAATACGTTCTTCGCTTGGTGAAGAAGTAATTGTTCATGCAGCTCAAACAACATTACAGGCTCAAGGAAAAAGGAATGCTTCAAAAATACTAAAAGAAATAACAAACTCTCCAACTCGTGCAAAGAAATACAGAAAAGCATTAAAAAAATCTGATCAAGAAGAAATTACTTGTCTCACACCATTGCAAGCCCTAGCAATGTTTGTTGAAGCCGATTTAACCAAGCGACAATATGAAATCATTAGAAATACAAATAAATCATTTTATCCGTGCTATAACATATTGTTAATGGCAAAAAAAGAATGTTACCCGCCAAAGGATTCTATAACTGTCACAAGTACCTTTGCAGAATGCAATTTACAAAGCTTAATTGACATTACAGTTACCCGGTTATCAATGGCACTAGAAGAAATCCTTTCTTCTCTAAAACATACTGAAAGGAATTCTTTAAAAATTATTTGTAAATGGGGTTGTGACGGATCCCAACAAGCTCAATATAAACAAAAATTTGACGATGACGCTGCCTCAGACGCAAATATATTCCTAAGCTCTTTTGTACCACTTCAAATATATTGCGGCCAACAAGGCAAAAAAATAATTTGGCAAAACCCAACACCCTCATCGCCTAGATATTGCAGACCTATACGATTTAGGTTTGTCAAAGAATCTACTGACGTAACAAAGGAAGAAATCAATTACGTTGAAGAATCTAGTAAGAAATTAACACCTACTGAAGTAAGTTTGCATGGTAGTACATTTACGTTTGAACATATATTTAAGATGACGATGATCGATGGCAAGGTGTGCAACGCGGCAACCGGTACAAAATCAACAAGTCGGTGTTATATATGTGGAGCAACATCTAAAGACTTTACCAATCTGACACAAAAGTTTAATACAACTTCTAAGGCTATTGAATTTGGACTATCTGTACTACACGCCAGAATTCGATTGTTTGAAAGCGTTTTACACCTGGCTTATAAATTACCAGTAAAAAAGTATAGAGAGAAGAGAACTAATGAAGAAAAGGATTTAGAAATGCTTACCAAAAAACATATACAGGAAAGGTTTCGAAAGGAAACAGGACTGTTAGTCGACATGCCAAAAGCCAATTTCGGGAATACCAATGATGGTAATACTAGCCGAAGATTCTTTGAAAACCCCCAATTAGCTGCGGACATAACAAAAGTTGATTTTCAATTAATATATAGATTAAAAGTTATACTGGAAACTATCTCAAGTGGTCATAAGATAAATATCCATAAATTTAATGATTTTGCCATGGCAACTGCGAAATTGTATGTCGACCAATATTCATGGCACCCAATGACTCCGACCATGCATAAAATATTAATTCATGGCGCAGTTATTATCGAAAATGCCTTATTACCCATAGGACAGTTGTCTGAAGAGGCAGCAGAAGCCAAAAATAAGCATTTTCGCTTATATCGCGAAAACTACGCTAGAAAGTTCTCGAGGGAGGAATGCAATATTGATATATATAACAGACTATTACTAAGTTCAGATCCACTATTAAGTAGTATGAAAGGAAAAAAAAGAACTAAAGCAAGATTATTTTGCCCTGAAACAATCAATATGTTACTACCGGCTGAACCGAATACCGAATCCGATTTTTCAGATACGGATCAAGATTTATCCATAGATGAATAATTAAATATTTTAAAATAGGTATTTGCACCTAAACTTATGAATTTAGATTGTAGAATATTTTTTTGTTTATAAAATTTTCCATACAAATTGTTTTCTTTTAAGATTTTTTCTTGTATTTTTAATTTTTTTTCTCGGAAAACATGCCAATTTTACAAAGTGCAATACCTTACAATAAAATGTATGATTTAAAGTCAAAATACACCCTTAAATAATTTTGACCGCCTAAATCCTTTAAATCAACCTATGTGCCAGGGTGAATATCTTGCGTTAGGCTGAATAGTCTCGCGGGTACTACAACTTTTCCAGCCGTTGAAATGACTTTCGTGATCCACCGTCAAATTCTGGATATTACTTTTATTAAAGTTTAATTTAGTTTGAAGTTCGTACGAACATTTATTTCTTTTACTGGTATTGGTATTTCTCAAGTAAATTACCGAGTAATTTACTTGTTTGGAAGAAGAGGGGGAGTTGTTACGTTCCGAAAATGCTGGGAGCATATTGGGTTATTTTATTTTTAATTTTTGTTCTAACAGTTAATATTGGTTTAGATTTCATTATTATCATCCTATAGATTTTTATGGATAATATAACGCCATCTGTTGACGGGAAGTTCAATCAATAGGGTGCAGCGAATGCAGCATAAGAATACGTAAGGATTGGGTGTAGTATTTTGTTACTGGTATCCTCGTATTCGCGGATGATTCCGGATTAACTTTCAACCTTCTTGGTAAGCCATCTTGTCACATTGTTTTTTTTTCAAGTATAATCGTAATCCTTTCTAGCCTTAATTTACAAAGACCGCATAAAACACCGGTTTTCTGTCTCCAAATTTCATCGAAGCTTAAGAAGTTCGCTAGTAAGCCTGACTGAGACATAAACCTAAGCGTAAGTTTTCTTATGGCGAAATTTCGCATAGTTAACCATAAACCTTGTAGGGTTCTTCACCAGGGTCCTTCGCCAGAGTTCTTTACTAGGGTCCTCTGGAGTTTCGATTACTCATTGCTTCCCGAGCATTCTGTCCAGGCTTCTGTCACTACGTAACTGTCTACCATTGGGGCATTAATAAGTTTGAGTGGTTCCAACCCTAGTATCCTGCCTACAGAGCGATTGCAACCGGACCTTAAGGGCGTAGATAAGTACCCTTGCATTTATTAGTCAATAATTGTTATTAAAGTTTTGGACCTTAAGGGCGTAGATAAGTACCCTTGCATTTATTAGTCGATAATTGTTATATGGCCATTCCACGCTTAACGGACAGGACAGTTGCCGTGTTTTTATTTACAAAATGATATTGTTCTATTATATTACCAATGTCAAATTTGTATAAATAGTTCTAAACAAAAGCTGTTTAACAAGATTTTTATTTGGAAAAATTAGGTATCGTGATTGACTGTTTAATTCCTTAAAAATTAATAATTTAAAGCGTAACGGACGGGACTATTACAAAGTCCCGTCTGTTACGCTTTAAATTATTAGTTTTTAAGGAATTAAACAGTCAACCAAGATACCTAATTTTGCCAAATAAAAATCTTGTTAAACAGCTTTTGTTTAGAACTATTTATAAAAATTTGACATTAGTAATATAATAGAACAATATTATTTTGTAAATAAAAACACGGCAACTGTCCTATCCGTTACGCGTGGAATGGCTCTATAAAGGTTATTAAAACCAGATCGAAACCATTCAGGTGTTGTTCTTAGTAAATTGTGTATACTAAATATTTAGCAAATATCAATTTAGTAGTGTAAACCCATTTTAATTGTTTATAAACTATAGATTAGCTGTAAACCTTTTCGTGGCCACCAAAACGGTATTTTCACTTAGTTGTATCGAATAAAAACCAAGGACGTAATGAAATAACAACGAACAAAATTAAATAAACCAATATTAACTGTTTTCTTGTTGTCTTATTCTGAACCTGTAACATAATCTTTTTACAAATATCCTTATTCTTTTTACATTTCTTTATGTAGTAAAGTGTGTGGTAAATTTCCATGAACAAAACTACATATAATGGGGGGTGCCTTCTCAAGTCAAAACCCTAAGGGGGACTAAGGTCAGCTTGAGAAGTGGTACCTACCTAAATCCGACATTTCTATTTATTTGATTTATACTGATGACTTAGCTATGTAGTATAAATGATACGAAAGTTGCTTTGCGTTATGGAAGCGGAAGTAGGGTTTGATTTATCAGATGGACGGTTTGCTAACTTATAAAATAAATATATTTAAATTTAAGTAAATATTCCATAATTTTGCGGCGCAGTGTATAATGGGGGGTGCCTTCTCAAGTCAAAACCCTAAGGGGGACTAAGGTCAGCTTAAGAAGCGGTACCTACCTAAATCCGACATTTCTATTTATTTGATTTATACTGATGAATTTAGCTATGTAGTATAAATGATACGAAAGTTGCTTTGCGTTATGGAAGCAAAAGTAGGGTTTGATTTATCAGATGGACGGTTTGCTAACTTATGAAATATAGTGTTTATTCACTTGTAAATATTATCTTAGAGCATACATGTTTGGGATTTGATTACATTTTATGTAGAGCATACAAATTTTGGGATGGTAAGGGTGTTATTTTTTTTATTATTCCTAATTTTACCTTTACTTAACTTGGGGAAACCCTAAAGAATAACCCACAAGATTTGTACCCAAATAAATAACCAACTAAGGAGAGCGAAAATTAAATAGCAAACAAAGCATACCAAAACTCAAAAACAATAAATAAAACTTATTGAAAAAACTACATTCTTCAATAGAAAGATTGTTTTATTATTTAATCTGTTCTTTTCTCATTGGCACTACACCTATTTAGAAGCGAACTTAAAATTACACAACGTAGGGTATTTTTTTTGATTTACTAGACGATCACCTTTTGGTCAAACTTGACAACACTGCTTGCGCTGACAAGATATAAATTAAGTTCGCGCGATTATTCAAATCGCCTTGGGTTACTGCCGTTTTTCATGAGTATGGGGGACCCCCACCCCGTGCCCATCACAGAATGGTGCCGTTACCAGGATTTTGTAATTTGGTTTATATTTATATTGTTGGTTGTTCTTGTTCGGTTGTTGGCTCTTTTATTCTTTAAGGTTACCCCCCACCATTTGGGACACGTGCTGACCCAGTGGGATTGTTTCCTGTTAAAAATGCAACCTTAGTATCCAAGGTATACTGCTGGATATGCAACTCTTGCTGGAAAACTCCTGCGGCCCACATTTCCTGCTGGACTCTCCTGCTGGGATTGTATATTATATTAATTATCTATGGACCTATGACTGAATACACTCGCGCATACTAGAGGGCGCACACATTATTGGCGCATTTTTTTTTAATTTTTAAACTTTTAATTTCTTAAATTATTAAATTATCCAAAAATTTTTAAAATCTTCAAATTTTACGGGTATTTTAAATTTTTCCAATCCTCTATATTTATAGAAAGAAATTATTCCAACGTTGCCTATTCGTTGCCTGGGGACTTCCGGTCTGAAACCGGCTTGGGTTATTTACTAATTACAATTAAAACACCTGCAGTAAATTATATTTCTATTATAACTCCTATTACCAAAACATATATTATAGCAAGTAGTAATACAAAAATATTCCAAGGATAATTCCCAATACAGCAATAACTACCTGAATAACCTAAAAAAAAATACATATACTTGGTCTTCTGAGATAACAAGAAAATTACAAATTACGAAAACTAAGAATTAATTGCAAATTATTTAATATTTAGAAAGCGAATCAGTGCGCACCAATTTTAATGGCGTAATGTACTGAACTATAGTCGAAAGCGCGTTGACTTTTATATAATCTTTAATTAAAACTTCTTACTTAATAATTCTACACTGATTGGCTGAAAACAAATTTGACAAAAAAAGGACTTGGGCGCACCCACAGACAAAATAGACTTGCCTTAGGGAGAAAATGATACGGCCGGGCGGGTGCCTGAACGGGTGCCTGTTTTCCAGTTCGCATCATTCATATTTGAGCAGTTGACCTGTGAGGATATATTATTTATGTAAAATTCTTTGAACATTATGGGTAAATGTGTTGTCAAAGTGTGTCCTAGTCGTAGTGAAACTAGTTCCAGCCAATTCCAACCAATTTTCTTTTTCCAGTAAGTAGTAATTACGAGATAAATTTTAAGCGATTTTATTAATTTTGCATGTCAATACCTTGCGTGCGCACACAGATGTTGTGTTGTTCTCTCCTTTGCACAGAGCCGTACGTCGTTTATTCTGGAGCGTAAAACTAGATGAATTTCTTTGATAATCCACTAGGAATATTTTAAATAAAATATAATATTAAAATAATACTTTTTTCACTTTTAGTGGAAATTTATTTCATTTGGAGTTATTTATTCTGACTTTTTAGCGAAATTGGTCTGTTTCGTTCAGTTTTTTATTTTAAAATTTTCAGAATTTTAATTTTTTTTTATTTTAAGAGCTTAATTTGCCTTTTTTTATTAGAGAATTTATAATTTATTCTATTTTTTTTATTTTTTTATTAAGGATTACATTAAAATTTGTTTAAATACATAATTTATTTAATTATTTTTACGTTTTTTCGTGTTTAAAATCTATAACGAATTTATGTACTTACAAATATATAAATGTAAAACAAAATAAATTTAATACTTATTAAAAAGATACCGCTCGTACGAAATTATTTAATACGGGCCGGCAGAATACATATCTTCTCTTATATAATATATAATATAATGTATACATTCCCTTGCCCCCCTTCCCCGATTTATTGCACGCTGGTTTCATGTTAGCGATACTGAACAGGGCAAGTCTATTTTGTCTGTGGGCGCACCGGAAAAATTTGGTCCACCGATAGGTCTCATTGGCACAAAAAAGGATAAAAATTTTAAGCGTCCACCTATAACGGTCTCCGAGCTACGGCGGTTTAAAAAAAAGAGGATACACAAACAACAGACAACAGACAAAAAAAAAGTTGTTCAGAATTCGATCGATACATACATTTGAAGGTATACCTAAATGTTCTCCTTGTACCACTTTTGAGATCGGCTGCTTACGCGATAGTGTTTGATTAAACACACAACCACGTACTCTTTAAGATAAATAATAGCTGCTTTTGTTATTGTTATTTGTTATTGTTACCTATTATAGTTACAAAAGATTGTCAGAATAAATTGTCAATAATTTTTTCATTAAAAGTTTAACTAAATATGTATTTCGTATTTTTATAATATATAATACATGGTGTCAGGAGTTAAAAACATAATGGAAACTGGTTTTAATAAGCCTGTAAATATAATAGGAAATCCAAAAGTGAAATGGGTTACGTGGAAAATAAATTTTATGACGTATCTTTGTGCAGCAGATTTAGAAGAAGCTAGCGTTAAAAGGAAAATTGCTATATTGATTAATTTTATTGAAAACATTGGTCATGACTTATTATACAATTTTGCATTTATCAATAAAGAAAGTAAAGATAGTATTAAATTTACACTTTAGCGACTTTTCCGAAAAACGGCATGGGGGTTGCCAAAATGCAAAAAATAGGTGTGGACGGATGTAAAAGTGCATAAACAATCGGCACAGGGTAAAAAAATTGTATAACTATCACGTAATTAATAAAAAAAGGGACTGATAATAATTATTATAGGTATATTAATGTTTCTTATTTTACTTTTATAGGTAGTCACTTTAAGTAACTTTACTATTTTAGCACCTACCTATAATAGCATAAAAAAATAGCCTAGTGAGAAAACAATGTCCCTAATATAAACTGCCCACCACTCAATGTGTCGCGACCAAAAAGTTCGTTCTTTTTCAAAACGACATAACTTTTTGTTTCTCGAACGATTTTATTTTGGTCTGTGATGTCTCCTAGCCCCATCCTCTATATCTATATCCTCTATAGATATGAAATTTTCTACAGGGTGACAGTGGCGGCTGGTGGATTTGGGCACACCCATATCTCAGTTATTAGACATGGGACCCACATCAAATTTATATGAGTTCATAATGGCATTATGATATTATGATATATTATTTCCATTACTAAATTTAAAAAAATTTGAAATGGTATTAAATCTGTAATACTTGAATTTTTTTAATAAAAATTGAAATTTGTCGATAAACTTTAGTGAATTAAATATTGTACCACTTTAATTTAAATTATTTTAATTTGGAGGGGCAGGAGGCTGGGGGTTGCACTTAAAAACTAACTTTTTTTCGCAAACTTTAATTTATATTCTGCTTGCGCAGAACTTGTCTATATAATGTCATTAAAAACTCATATAAATTTGATGTGGGTCCCATGTCTAATAAATCCACCTTCCGCCACTGCAGGGTGATATGTTAAACGGTGAAAATTTTCAATAACTTTATCCAAGCCCCGTTTAATTAATAATTTAATTTTTTTCTCGTTTTTACTTTGAAATAATGAAGTATTATGTCTTACCTTGAATCGTTTTTAAAATTTTTCGAGTTGGAATCTTAGCAACGAAAATATGTTTTTTTCCCAAAGAGTACATTTAAGGCTTTTTTTGTAGGCAATACACTCAGTATTTTAAGGAACAAGAAGATAAGATGGTGAAAGATTGTTCCTTAAATAATTCTGAACAAGCGACAAGCAACAAACTTCCATTATTTTCAGAGGGCCTAAGCAAAGACCACTTTTTCAAAATAACATTTTGGTGAAAATTTGCGAAAACTAATCCTAACACGATATTTACGTTCGTGACATGTTTTCTTCATAATTTTGACCTGCTGATTATGATTCAGTTGTCAAATTTAAGTTTGAGATAAAACCAAAATCACCAAGAATCAAGATTCTAAAACAATTCCCGGCTGTTAAATGTCTTAATATAATTCGATTGCTGGTTTTTACTGTTTTTTACAATGTTTTGCATCTTGAGTACGTTATTATCATGTCACTCAATGATCAAATCAAGGATCAAATAAAAATTAGTTCTTGAAAATCATTCAAAATGCATTATGAGACATATTGTTGATTTTTTTAGTTTGCTTGTGTTTTTACAAATTTCGAATTAGTTTTGCATAAGTTATACCTACCTACCTACGTACCTACCCTTATCTTACCCAGGTTACTTCCATTCTTCCTTTAAATGATTCAAATAACAATGCCAGACTTTGCTGCAGCTACGGGAAATAACATCTCAAAATCAACAGTTCGCAGAAGATTGCACGAAACGGGAGGCAAGGGTGGCTTTTGGAGGTGGAGGAGTGACTGTTTGGGGTGGAATGGAGATGAATGGAAAGAGTAAATGCTGAGAGATACATAGATTTGGTTGTTAGTGATTTTGTGGTCCCTTATGCTCAAAATATTACCAATAATTAGTGTTGGTGGACGACAATGCCCGTCAAACCGCGCCAATATCGTAAATGAGTATTTAAGGGGCCACCTTTGTCTCCGGATATGAATCCTATTGAGGATATATGGAGCAGGATGAAACTGAAAATGAAAGAGAGGAAAGGACGCATGGAACATTTTGATAAATTGGTAAATGCTATTCAGGAAGAATGGGATACCCCAGAAGTTTATAAGGAACTTTGTCGAGGCCCAGGAGGGTTAACGAATTATTACGGTTTAGCGAAGGGCCAACGAAATATTGATAGTTTTCAAAATGAACAAAAATATTTTTATTTAACTTTATTACTACTTAGGTAGGTACTTATAAATGTAAGTTATGTAACATTATCCCAACCACTCAAACAAATTGCAGTAGTTTCGCCCAAAAAATTAATGCCCAAATGGCATTTTAATCATAAATATGCAAGAAACACGCCAGCAATCTGATTTTATTAAGACATTAACAGTCGGGAATTGTTTTTGAATTTTGATTCTTAGTGATTTTGGTTTTATCTGAAGCTTAAATTTGACAACTGAATCACAATCAAGTCAAAATTATAAAGAAAACATGTCACGAACGTAAATATCGGTTCAGGATTAGTTTTCGCAAATTTTCACCAAAATGTCATTTTGAAAAAGTGGTCTTTGCTTAGGCCCCTCTGAAAATAATGGAAGTTTGTTGCTTGTCGCTTGTTCAGAATTATTCAAGGAACAATGTTTCACCATCTTATCTTCTTGTTCTTAAAAAGACTGAGTGTATTGCCTACCAAAAAGCCTTAAATTTACTCTTTTGAAAAAAAATCATATTTTCTTTGCTAAGATTACAATACGAAAAATTTAAAAAACGTTTTAACACATAATACATCATTATTTCAAAGTAAAAACGAGAAAAAATTTATTTTTTTACAAACGGGACTTGGATGAAGTTATTGAAATTTTTCACCGTTTAACATATCACCCTGTAGGAAATTTACTTGGCGAACCGTGAGCTTTATATCTATAGCATGAATTGCCAGAGGATGGGGTTAGCAGACATCACAGACCAAAATAAAATCGTTCAAGAAACAAAAAGTTATGTCGTTTTGAAAAAGGACGAACTTTTTGGTCGGGACACATTGAGTGGTGCGCAGTTTTGTTCGCATCTATATGAAATAGGAGTAATATGTAATTCTAGCACACTGGTGCACATATTTTATTATACAGGGTGTCTCAATAGTCAAGGGCAGCAGAAAAGTGGTGAATAAAGGATTGGATTCTAAGTCGAATAGTCTTTGTCGTTTTTCGATCAGACGCACCATTAATTAGTTATTAATAAAATAAAGTAGCCAATCAAAGGCGTGTTTTAGCAGAATGATTAGAGGGGGAAGAACTATAATGTGCAGCTGAATCTTAGAAATTCTATATTAAATTAGACATTAATTATATGGTTGACAATGTCCATTTGACATTGTCACTGTCAGTGTAGGTTAGTTTTAACTTGAGACATTCTTTTTTTAGGGAAAATTGGTGACCCTTAATAAGGCCGTTCTTAAAGTAGGCTTCAGGGGGACTTTATCTTATGAGATGCTTAAAGGTCCCTCCAATTCTCTGCAAGCACATTTCACAACGTTTAATGATGTTCGTTCTGACGTTCTTCAGCATTTCTGGTTTTATGTTGGCTTGCGACAATTGAATCCGCTCCAGAGTGTCGAGCTGATCCTCTAGCAAGGTTTTGTAAACGACGCCCTTCATGTATCCCCACAAGAAAAAGTCCAAAGGTGTTAAGTCTGGTGATCTTGGGGACCACAAAAATGACATTATTTCATATTCATTCAAATATCTCTAATTAAATAATAATATTAAAATTAATGATTATTTATATTAATAAAATGTTATTTTTACTTATTTAAAAAGGTAGAGGTACCTAAAGTTCATTTTTTTTTATTGGGCTTATGCCAGTTTGATTTAGTATTTTTAGTATTTAAAAAATGGTACTTCTGCTAAAGACCTTAATTAAATACTCTGACACTGTCAAATTGACAGCCATATTTATTATTGATAATTTACTTGTTAATTATTATATAATATCGCTATAAAAAGATAACTATGCCAAAAATAATATCAGATTCTAAAGTACTAGTATATTATTATACAAGAGATAATGCAGGCTATTATTCACAAGGATGAGGTTTGCCTAGCGGCTCGAGACGTAAATCATCCGAGTAAATAATGCGCATTATTTCGAGTGTAATACTATGTTTTTTCTACTCCAATTAAGTAATTTTCATTGATAACAAAATTAATTATAACCTCACTTTTTACCGATTTTAAAGATCATTATATAAAAAAATCTGACATCTGTTAACCTTACTTTTCCCAATTCAAAATCCTATTGGTTCAAATAACAGTGAATATTAAAATCAGCCAATTATTGGTTACCATTATTTACGCCTATATTTAACTACTTTTTTATATGATTTTACTCATCTACGCACCACCAAAGTCAAATTAATTGCATTTTTAACTACGAATTTTGAAAACTCAACTTGACTCAACTTGATAACCGTTTAATGTAAGCTACAATAATTTAACTATAACCACAATTTCATTATAATTACATTTATTACTAGTTTAGTTTGTTTTAATCATTGCAACCAATTTTGGTTCCGTATTTACCAACGAAACCCCTAAATTTGCAACGTTGCCGCAGTCCAGATAAAAAAATTAACTTTATTTGTTCCACACAAAAAAAGAAAATTTTCCATGAACCTAAAAAACCAAAACACTGACAGTGACAGTGAATAAATAAAATTAAGGTCATTTCATAATATACGTTCATAGCCATGGCATTTTTACTAAAGTTTGTGTGGTCTCATCCCTAATCATTCTGATAGAGCACGCCTGTGGTTGACTACTTCATTTTATTAATAACTAATTAATGGTTCGTCTGATAAAAAAACGGCAAAGACTATTCGACTATTTGACCCTGTATATTATAGAACTGAGTTTGCTTGGTTTGGATCAGTACAGTCTGCTGTCAACCCATAATCCAAGGAACTTTATTGCATGCATGTTTCTTCTGTTTTATTTAAAAATTTTAGGTACTGCGTTTTGTCTATATTTAGCTTAAGTTTGTTTGTATTAAACCACTGTTGTATATTTTCTAAGATAATTTTAGTTTTTTGACAGATGTTTTCTTCTGTGAGTTCTGTCACTAGCAAAGATGTGTTATCTGCATACACACATGTATTTGTAGCTTTTACACACAAGCTTAGATCATTGGTTTGAATGATAAATAGCACAAGATGAATACTTTTTCTTCAATTTTACCATTTGTGTTTGATTTTTTAAGTATGACTGTAGTATTTTATATGGAGGTCCTCTCCTGCCATAAAGGTATAGCTTTTCTATCTTGTGATCAACAGTATCGAATGCTTTACTGAAGTCATATCAGATAAGCTGCGTCTGCAGGTCATCATCAAGACTATTTATGAGAGTATCAATAAAGTAATGCAGTTGTTGTGGACTTATATTTTTTATATTCATGCTGTTTTGTACTAAGCAGTAGATTTTTCTCAAAAAACTCCATAAGTTTATTTTTATTACTATTTCAGACTTACTGGGTAAAAGAGATAGCTCCCACATTCATCTAGGTCACCCTTTTTATGAATTATAAAAACAACTGCTCTTTTTAGCTTATTTGGAAATATACCTTCCAGTAGACATTTATTAGGTATACACTATTTCAATGGGAGTGATTACAGCTAACAAAATATTTTTTCAGAAATGCCTTAGAAATACCATCTATGTCTTTTGTGTTTTTTTTTCAGTTAATGTACAATTAATATGATTTCATTTCTTGTGATTGGTTAAAAAAAGCACAAGTTTGTATTTTTAACATTTGGCTTACTGTAAAAGAAGCTAGAAGACGGCTTACTTTTGTTGATTTTTTCCTAGGTTGTTATTCCAATTTTTGTAAAAAAGCATTCAGTTGTTCAGGTCTTTCCCCTTCTTTTTAACTACCTAAATTTTGTTTCTTTATTTATGGCTCTCCAAATTGTCTTTTGTTTATTATAGTATGGAGTTTGATCTTAATTTGCTACTTCAAGTGCTTTACGATACCTTTTGTATATATTGTATTCTTTTTGGGATTCTTCATCTTTCTTTACAGTTGCAACAATACCTAAAGGCTCCAAAGTTGTTTGCATTTTTTGAAGTTCTGGGTTTTTGTTTAAGGTTTCGTCCAATTTTAATTCTTTTTTCTTTTTCAGGAAAACATTGTTCGTATACTCCTAAAAACGTTTGATAAAAACCGTTAAAAGCTTCCTCCCCACCCAGTTCCATAAGCAGTTGCTTGGGATCATATTTTACAATTTTATTGACAACTTATTCCCTAGACTAAGTGCAGATTAGTTTTTTTTTAATGGCGATTTTTGCAATATGTTTGATTTTTTTTTAATAATATATCTATTTGTGCATTTTTTTTTAAAATCCACTGTTTAATTTTGAATAAATAAACTTACTACTTTCCATTGTTTATACTGTAAAATCCCCAAAAATGCATACAATGTGCTGAAATTTTGGATTTTTTTATTTTTTTGGGGCTCAATATAGACTCAAAATTTAAAGAAAATCGGAGACATGTCCGTTGTTCAAATATGATAAAAGCATAGCGCGTCCGCAATGGGACCTGGGGTGATATCCTTGACAAATAAGTTTGAAAAGCAAAAAATAGCTTTTTATTTATTAGTACTAACCTTATCCTGCCATTTTCGATTTTCTACACATTTTAAATAATCCATTTCACTAAAACTTACAGAATTATATAAAGGAATCCAAGTGTTACAAAAAAATCTGAATAGCAAACTATCTAATAAATTTCTTAAGGAGTAAGAAGGCCTTGTAACCAAATCCCTCATTTCAACATAGTTATACATAGCTAAATCACTAATAGCATAAGTATTTGCTTTTCTTTTTATACTGTAATTTTGTAAAGATAATTTAAAATTATCTTTATTTTCGTTAAGAATATTGTCCAGTATAGTACAATCTTCAAATCCAGCATTCATACCTTGACCATAAAACGGTACAATAGCATGCGCAGCATCGCCTAGTAATAGAAATTTATTTTTATAATGATAAGGACTACATTTTACAGAAATTAACGAAGAAGGTTTTTTTTTAAAGTAGTCTGTTATTAATTCTTTTGATCCAATTAATTCAATGGAATCACTAAATGTTTTGCTAAAAAAGTTTAAAAGATCAGCTTCAGTTTTAATAGATTCAAACATTTTAAAAGGCATAAATAATGTTACTGTCCAAGAATTATCCTTATTTGGTAATGCTATCATCATAAATTCACCCCTAGGCCAAATATGAAGGTGATTTGACTTCATTAGATGACTTTGTTCTTTAGGAATACAAAGTTCTAAATAACCGTGTTCGATATAAGTTTGACTGTATTCGAATAAAGGAGTTGTTTCCATAAATCTGCGAATTTTACTAAAAGCCCCGTCTGCTCCAATAATTAAATCTGCTTGAAATTCTACGGTTTCATTTTTCTCCACACTAAAAAAACTTTATTAGTTATAATTTTATCTTAAATATATATTTACTTTAAAAATGAAACTCGTCCTTCAGATAAACCAATGTTTATTAACTTGTATTTAAAGTATATTTTTACATTTCGATATTTTTCAGCAGCTAAAAAAATATGATGTAATTTATTAAATTTCGTGAACTTTATAATACCTTCTAGAAGTTTTCCATTTAAAAAGTTTCTTCCTATTGAATAAATGCACTAAAAATATAATTAATTATAGTTCCTCTTAAAATTAATAATTTACATGGTAAAAAAATGCACTAAACCATAAATAAACCGTTAACTTGTGCTATTCTAATCTCTAGTTAGTTCAGTGTTTATATCAGAAAGGCTTTCCCATTTACTGTAGACATACTTAATACTAATTGGCCTTCCCCTGCAAGATACGGCATATACACATTTTAATTGAAATGTATGGATTTTAATCTTTCGGAATATGTATGTCTACATCTGACACGAATTAAAAAACTTTCCTCAGGTAGCGTGAAGGAAATAAAACGCAGAATAGGTAAACTTGTATCAGATCTGGGCACACTGCTTGAAATAAGCCTGAAGCTGCAGGATGCATTCAACCGAGATCATTTTCGCCTTAGACATATTTCCACTTTGTTAAGAAAAAATTTAAATATAAAGTTTAAATTACACATAATTCTGCACAAGCTAATTATAATACTAGACTCACACTAAATTTAAAACATATAGGTTAACATTAACCTTCCGGCATGCGCAACCGATCTAAGAGCTAAACCAGTTATCTAAGAGATACATACAGTGTAGGTCCTACACCAGCATAGAAAACCCCGAAGGGGTAGAAAGAGAATATTAGTGGCAGCTCATGAACCCATAGATAAGCAACCAAACATACAACTATGAAGTTGTATTCATTTGTTTGGAGTTTGCATCATTAACCCGCGATATTTAAATTTTGTTTAGTAAAATATTTTAACTATTTTGTAAAAAAAATACAAAATGGACAAATTCATCATGTAACAAAAATTAATAATCCGTCAGATTTTTTTTACACAAAAGATATTATCTTATTTGTATTATTTAACACTAAATGGGCAAATAGCATATACAAAGTGGACCATGGGAGCGGGAAGTTTAGAAAATGTTGTTATTTCGTTACTATGCATAGGTTGCCGCAGATTTGTTTGACAACTTATCTGTTATTTTATGCCATTTGGTAATCATGGAAAGTAATGATTTTAAATCAATTAAAATAAATTTAAATGACCAAGATGACCTCACAAAGCAGCAATTAAGTAGTTATTTAACAGAAATTAAAAACAGTATTGAGAGTATTAGTAAATTGTTACAGGACAGGTGTAGGATAGCTAAAGAGCAAGTTAGGGTAGGAGATAGTGTTAAGGTAGATTTAGAAACAAAAATGGGTGACAAATTGGAGTTAAAAGTAGCAGCATCCTTGCTGCCTACTATGAATGGTAAGGAGGATGTAACAAAACAGCTTATTGATGCAATTGAATTATACGACGGGTTATTAGCTGCAGACGGGAAGAAAATGCTAACAACTTATGTTCTTAAAACAAAATTAACTCAGTCGGCCAAATTTCGGCTTAAAACAGTGTATCAATCAAACAAGGATCTTATTTTTGACATTAAATTACATTTGTTACCGCGTAAATCTGCCGCTGCTCTATCCTTCGAGCTGCACAACGCTAAACAAAACCAGAAGTCAATCGATGATTTCGGTAAAACTATCAAGGAGTTAATGGTTAATCTTACGTTAGTGCAGGCCGATGGAGATGAAGACACAGCCAGAATTTTGTCGAATATAAACGAAAAAATTGCTATTAGTGCTTTCTCAAACGGGTTACGCGACCACGACTTAAAAATGCTTATTAAAGCGCGTAATTATACATTAATTCAAAGCGCTATTGTCGGAGCAAAAGATGAAGATGTGGCCAAACGCTCTTCCACCTCTCAGGTATTTTCTATTGGTAAGCGAGGTAATTTTAGAGGTTCGAATTTTAGGTATGTTAATAAAGATAGAATTAAGTTTTATTATGGATTAAAAAAAAGGATTTTTTTTTCTCAATGAAAAAAAATCTTTTTTTTCCTTTTCCGTGGGAGGTGTAATGGATTAATTTTGCAAATACTAAAGAATGTGTTTGGATTGCAATAGTGAGTCCAATACACTTCCTGCTGCCAGTCAAATGGCAACGAACCTATAGAATTAGTATAATAAGTAATATACTTTTAGTTAAAATAATGTTTAATTAGTTTATAGAATAATGTAGACATGACCGGTCGTAAATAAAGTAGTTAATGGGAACTGGTAGTGTTTTATCATCAAACACCCTTCACACATTACATGGCCTTGTTTAGGCAAACAACGTTCTTTTGTGATTAAATCTTACAACAAAAATAATAATTGTGTGGTCGCATAGCAGCAATTTCGAATTAATTTTATCATTGTTCATCACGAAAGAGGAACTGGATCAGCTGAAGATGTTAAACATAAGGTACCAAACAGAAGTGTCTGAAGTCTTGATAACATTGATCGCGTTAGAGCATCTCTAGAGCGCAGTCCAAAACGTTCAAGTAAAAAAGCCAGGCCTTGAGCTTATCTAAAACTACTTTTCTTCGAATTTTACATAAGTATCTCAATTTTCATACTTACAAAATACAGATTGTCCAAGCATTGAAACCAGCAGATCTTTCTGTTCGCCTACATTTTGCTGAAACAATTCTGTAGCATAAAATTGACGTTTACAATTTTTGTATATCTGATAAAAAACATTTCCATTTATCTGGCTATATCAATAAACAAAACACCCGTTATTGGGGTTCGGAAAATCCACAAGAACATTATCAACGCAATATCTCCAATTGGAATCATAGGTCCCCATTTTTTTGAGGAGCACAATGAAAAGCTTTAAAAGTCAATGCTGCACGCTATCCTGGCATGATTAACCAGATCCTTACACAGCAACTGAACATGTTTCCACAAAACAATAGCTGGTTTCAGCAAGATGGGGCTACTTTACATACCGCAAGAGCAGCGATGAATTCCGTGCGAAGATTGTTTCTAGGTCGCGTTATCTCCAGATACGGAGAGGCCTCTAGATAATGAATTTGTCCATTTTTTGTTTTTCTTTATACAACAGTTAAAATATTATGTATGAATACGGCAGGAAAAGAAATCAAACAACATGTTTAAATAAAATAGGGACTTTATAATGACTAGAAATAAAATTATTTACACTTAAATTTAAAAAATTTAATTATTACAAAAATTAAAGATTTACATCAATTTTATAAATCCAAATTACCAATGTCTTAATGTGGGAATCAAGCCCCATACCCTTTAATCAGAAATCATACCTGCTAACTATTATATAAAGGATTACACCATATCGATTGGCAAAATACATTTACGAATTAAATCAAAAATAGCAGGAGTTAACAAATTAAGGTAATATTATTGCACACGGTAATATATCTTTACCATGCTCTTGAATGGGAATCAAACCCAAGACCTTAAGATTCCTAAGTTATGAACAAGAATTCAGACTTAATGTAATCACGGTCAATTAATGACGAACTTTTCCACCTCATTTTAAAATAGGCTATAAATAATATATCTTGTCAACACTAAAAATATATATGATAATAAATATACTTACCTGGAATATGTTTAAATAAAATACGGAGTTTATAATAACTACAAATAAAAAAATTTACACTTAAATTTAAAATGTTAATTCTTCCAACTATTACAAATTTATTGACATTTATTTTATTGATTCAAATTACCAATGTCTATGTGGAAATCACACCCATAACCTTAGGAATTAGAAATCATACCTGCTGACTATTATACCGTTGATTGATTGAACTTTTTAGTCAAGGATTACACCGTATCGTTTGCCTAAATGTATGTTACTTAAATCAAAAATAGCAGAAGTAAGCAAATTAAGGTAATATTATTGCACACGGCAATATATCTTAACCATGGTCTTGAGTGGGATACAAACCCAAGACCTTAGGATTCCTATGTTAGGAATAAGAATTCAGATTTAATGTTCACGGTCAATTATCCAGGGCGCCTGCTAAACTTCGAATTTCAAATAGTAACAAAGTAACCTCCTACCTGAAAATTTTGTAACCGGTCAGAAAACAAAAATTTTGAGCTATTACAAAACTCTTAATTTTTATTTTAAGCCGTTGCTATTCAATTTTTAAATATTTCCCTTTAAAAACCATTAAAAAACAATTTTTATTATTTTCTCCTTCCGCTCGTACAGTAAGAATATTTTTTTCGAATTTCGGTCCTAAAACTTTATACATGATGAAATTAGTATTTTCAGGTGGGACTTTAAGCATATGGTCACATGGACTAGATTCCAAGCACCAAGGTTGACAATACCGAACTTAGAAAGAAGAAGAAGAAGAAGAAGGTGGGACTTTGAAAAAAAAAATGTCGCTCTAAAATGAAGCACCCTAATCTTAATACACACCCGACAGTTTGCGCTTTGCATGTAATGTTATATTCGCGCCAGCTGGGTTGCCAAATCGGATTCATATCAGTTGCATCGCTAATAATTCCTTATTTATCACAAAATTTTATAAGTAGGTATATTATTTTCGCATACGAGTGAATATGCTTAATACAGGGATATATTGAAATAAGAGAATGTATTGGACAGAAATAGTAACTTTAATAACTTTTTTCAACAAAAAGTAACCAATAGTAACCGCACCAACCAAAAAGTAACTTTTTACTATAAAAGTGATCGAGCGGGAGGCCTGATTATCGAAGAACTTTTTTACGTCATTTTTAATATAGGCTAAAAATAATATATCTTTTCAACTTTAAAGACTATAAATACACTTTAATTTTTTTTATTCACTATTTTTATTTATTCCCTATTTTTTTTATTCACTATTTATCCTGCTTAAACTATTTTTAGAAAAATTTAATATTCTTACCCCTGGTTTCATGTGTTAATTAGACAATAGGTTACTAACTAAAAACTAAACTAAAAATAATTAACGACATCTACCAATTTGTCCACCATAGTTTATGTTGGAACCTCTTGTAAGATGACTGCAAGCATTTTAATCTGTGAGATATGTGTAATAGGGTGGAGTGAATTTTTTTTTATTTATTAATTGATTTTTCCTAGGTATATTATTAATTGTTGACTAAAGGCGTAAAATGAATAAATATCGAAAAAATATTCCAATTTTTTAATATCTTGAGGAAAACCTATTACTACTATTACCGAAAATATTAAAGGCGAGAAAAGAATCAAAATGTTCGAGATTACGGGAATTAAAGCTTCCACAGCGAAATAATGAAGCATTACATTTTTACGAGTTAATTCACTGGGCGACAGAAAAGGTAACTGAGCCACCTATGACTATGAAATACGATGACAGAAATTACCGATATGATTTCTTCGGGTGACCATTTCCTATACTTCCAAAAATTTCCGTGTCACACCCAAGCAGTGGAACGCTGTGTAAAACTGGTTATAACCAGTATACTGAATCTTCAGTCTCGGTTTGTTGATCGGAAGCAAGAGATGGTTTCATCAGAACAAGAATTAAAGTCAGAAAATAATTACCAAATTTTGATACCAAATGTCAGTATTTTCGCGAAAAAGAAGATCTCATTTCTACCAATAAACACTCCTGAAGTTACTTAAAGCATATGATTTACTATTAAATATGTTTAGGTTTGACGTTAATTTGACTAAAATAAACTTTTTATTTATAAATAATGCTATTTTTATTACTTTTATTGAAGTAATATTTTTTTTGAATTTTCAAAACTTCGAGACTGATGCGCCACCTCAAGATATTAAAAAATTGGAATATTTTTTCGGTATTTATTCATTTTACGCCTTTAGTCAACAATTAATAATATAGGAAAAATTAATTAATAAATAAAAAAAAATTCACTCCACCCTAATGTGTAATACACATATCTCACAGATTAAATTTGTGTATCGTGATATTGCGTTATACTTTAATATTTCATGTATACATTGTATTTTAAGTTACAAATTAAAACAATACAATCAATTTGCTAAACATAACTTAATATTTCCAAAAAATAATAAAAAAGCTTGTGTAAAAATTGATTCTGTCACCACTGGGCCCGAACTTGAGCACGTAGGACATGAGCCCGCCGGAAGATTAAATTTTGGCATGTCGTTTTATACGAACAGCTGACCCTACTACATTATAAACAAAATAAATTATAATTATAATTTTAATATTTGTGTCAATTCTTTTGTTCGTTTATCATGTTTTAAGAACTCTTTCCAAAAATAAGTTTGATTAAAAAAATTGTAGGGGCCGCTCACATTTTTTTTTTAAATTTTTATCTCGCCAAGTTAAATTTTTACACAGAAAATAAATAGATTTCTTTAAGTTTTTGATGTTTTCGAGCGATCTTTAAATATTTATATTAAGACTTAATTTGTATTTTACTTTAATGTACCGTGTAATAAAATAAAATTACCTTTTTAAAAACAGGATCATAAGGAACTGATTTTTTATATCCGTTTAAATCATGTAATAATCTTCCTTTCATTGGTACAGCGTTATTTAATATTTCTTCTTCCAAACCAATAAATTTTAATGCTTTCCTTCCTCGATGAGAAAGTGCTAGATTTATTGACTTTCCTTGGGCTTCATCGGCTTTTCTGATATCTATAATAGTTTAACATAATGAATAAATTATGTAGGTATAACATAATTTTCATACTTATTTAAAATTTTTGAAATTACCTTCTCTTTTTTCAAAAATGTAAACATCATAGCCCCTTTTGGCCATAAAACAAGCATTTAATGCTCCAACCTAAAATATATATATATAAATAAACATACATACAAAATACGCACAAATTATTTTAATACCAATCCACCACCAACTATAACAACTTTAGCTACTTCGTTTTTATTCATAGTAAGTTCTTTTATTAAAAACAAGATATAGAATATAATAGAATATATATACTAAGGTAACTAAGGTTTCCATCGTGGAATTATTTTTGTGTAGAAACTTAATACTAATCCGCTTAAGTAACATAAGTAAGCTTTCTATAATATATAATATTTGCATTAAAAGTATATAATTACAAAGTAATTAAATATTGCCAATGAAATGCTTTGGTTATCATTATACAAATTAGAATTTAGACATTTGACATGATAAAATATATTTTAGGTCGTCTTTTGTTTTCTGTAATCCTTTAAGACTTTTAGCACACATATTTGAAAATTTAATGATGCGTGGAACATGCACTTAATCTTTCCAAAACGAGTGAACTAGTTTAAGGTATTAATTATTTAATGATATTGTATATTTATATTCCGATTTATTTTTGAACCATAAAAATAAATAATGCCTATTATATACGTTATTTACCTCTACACAATCCAACTATATTTTTTTGTTATTGGTTTTCGTTTATTTACTGATAGAGGAACTGGTCCGAATATGGGCCCCCATTTTGTATTTTTTTAATAATTTGGTTATTCTTTTTTTAGATGATGTGGAAAGATGTTTACATACTATGTAGGGACGTAGTAATAAAACAACAATATTAATTTCTTTTAAAAATAACACATTTATTTATGGCAAAACAAAGAATGAAATGGTGCACATTTTTGACTTTGGGCCCTATTAAAAAGTTATATCTTTCATTAGGATAAACACACAAACACAAAATAAACAAAAGTCACAAAATAAAAGAAAACAAATATCTCACAAGACTATCGGAAAATATCCTTATCTGCCCCCAGAGCACTGCTCATGTGCCCACAGTTGACACATTAGACACTTAACCCAGAGTTCTCTCCTATTATCATAGAGGAAGTGTCTGTCACAGAATAAGCATATTGCATCGTTTGTAGGGGAGAATTGTCCTATTTAATCCATATCAAGGTCATCGTCGGTAGGCCCATATTCAATAAACTAAAGGGGCCCATATTGCACCAAATGCAACTTGTAATAAAATTATAGGTTTTGAACAAACATTGTTTTTTAAAATTTAAATCACTACTACAATGCAATGTTGAACTTTCCTTCTATCACATGAAGCCTGAGCAGCTACAAAGTAATATCAGGAAATATGAAAATTAGTCAAATTAAACTTACATCGAAAAGTTATGGCCCACAGAAAAACAATCAAACCGGAATATTCCAAAAACAACAAGTGGAGTGATGGCGGTAATTGGTAAAACAGGTTTTAATAACCTGATGGTGTAAATTTATAAATTGCCTGGTAGATGGCGTTAATTATTTCAAAGATGAGTGGGGGGCCCATATTAAGTGCTTGGTCCATATTCGGACCAGTTCCTCTATTATTTTCTTATAATAGGTAATAGGTATTTGTGTGATGGTGAAAATAATAATGGGGTAGTTAAATTTTTTCTGACCTATACTTTTTATGGTTTTATTCAAGGCGTTTTGTAATATTAAACATTTCTGTGAAATCAGAATTTCAATTGAGTTTACCGTTTTCGAGATATTTACAAAAAATATAAATTTTTATGACGTCACAAACCTCGCCATGCGACCAACATTCTAAGATTTCTATTGGTTGAAAATTACCCTGTTGTCAAGTTGTCTTGTTAATGATTTCATTCGGTTATGTTAGAAAATACCCGAAGAGGTTATGTACAAATACTGTCACTGTCAGTTGAGTGAAAGATGGTCACCAAATAGTACCTATCTTCCTTATTACGAGGTATTATATTACTGTTTGATATTTTAGAGTCCATGATATATCTAAAAGAATATAAAGAACTAGGCATTATACTAATGAAATGCATTTACGACAAAATATGATTATAATTATAAGTACTTACTTTATTTGTTTAAAAGCTCCAATGTTCAATGGAACCAACCATTCCACAAGATTCCTCTGCTTTGGAGTCCGTTATTAATAAATCACTTATCTAATATCAATTACAAATAACATAACAATAACGTTGATTTTCAATAATCTAAATTAAAAAAAAACATAACCCAAAAAAAAGAAACGTCAAAAAATCAATTCTTCTTCTTCTCAACTAAAATTATAGATCAAAACTAAAATATTATAACGTGGCGCCATCTATCGTAAGAATCTTAAACTAAACACACTGGCAACCATAGAAAATGCTGGCAACGTTGTCAATAGCCTAGTGACGTAATTAGGAGATTTTTTTTTGTAAATATCTCGAAAACGGTAAACTCAATTGAAATTTCGATTTCACAGAAATGTTTAAAATTACAAAACGCCTTGAATAAAACCATAAAACGTATAGGTCAGAAAAAATTTAACTACCCCATTACACTATCTAACAATGGATATTTACAAAATTTGCTATAAGAATCACCAACTCAAATACAATAGAAAATGTGTGGGGCTTATACAAGGTGTTCATTTTAGAACTTCCCACCTTAAATTTTTCGGAAACTAAAAGGTTTTTGGAAAAACAAGTTTAGTTTTATATCGAGGGAGATAATTTTACATGACAAAATTTGGTTCCCCACCTTTACCCCTGCGCCCGAGAGCTAACTCCTTAAAAATTTGAATAGGGAAGTGGTATCGAGTAATCCCTACATATTGGTGTAATATTTTTTTTAAATCGATCCATTAGTTTTAAAGATATTTGAGAAAAACCACTACTATTGAAAAACCTAAAAATTTATTGTTTTGGTTGTTTTTATTGTTTTTTTATTATGTGAAGCTTAATAAAAATAATGTAATAAATGCTTAAAAATTTGCTTACCCAAGATTAGGTATCTACCCCTTGCACCCAGCTGGCTGCCCTGTATACGATTTCATTATTTACAAAACTGTTTGCTTTGAACCATTTTGTAGGAAAATATTTCAAATCTCCCAACAAAATTTAAATTAAATATATTTGCTTTGAACCATGGTTTAAAGGCCTACAAGGAAAAATATGTGCGGCAAACTTAGGGTGGTGCGTAACTGAGAATTTTTAACAACACAAGCAGTGCTAAAGCAACTTACCTTACGGAACACGGGGCGCCAATGTGCCTGGACTCTAATGGTTGGCTTAGTAAAGATAAAAATACATAAATACGTGGAGTACAAGCCTTGTACTACAAGGGTTTTTTAATCAAGATACACAAAGGGCTCAGCGGTATAAAATGTAGGCAACTTACATGATATAAGGAAACCTGGTAGGCTACTTTTGAAACCAAATTTCGTTCGCCACGCGCATGTACCTACGTCACATTCGTCAATCAAAACTAGATATTTGAATTGCTGATGCAGCTAGAAATTTAAATTTATTATTTGTATTGTGTTTTTATAATTATTTATGTGTGTGGGATTAATTTACAATGCCAAACTGTGCTATGGCTATGTGTAAAAATTATAATAAAAGGTAACAGCTATAGCTGTTATAACATTATAAAGTTATACATAAATTAAATCTATTTTTTTAATTTAGTTTTTGGAGATTATGTGCTTCAAAAAGCAGATTTTGAAAAAATATTCACTGTGTTCCAAAGAAAACTTGTACCCCCCAAACGTTTTAACGGGTCAATGTGGACAACATTCCTTGGACACGTCAATTTTTATTTCCAGGGAGACGAATTTTAATGTACGATTCACGCCCCCACTCGCACCCCTACGCGCTCTTCCCCGCCCGTCGCCAAAATCATAAATTGTTGAGTGACATATCTTATTAAAGGTCTTTTAATTCTTAATGAGATTTTGTTTAAAAAATATGTTAGTTAGTTTTTGAGAAATTGCTATTTGAATTTTCAAATTAAGAGAAAAACATAAAACTGTAAATCAACAAATGTGTGGGTTTCATGGAGCAAATGTGGATTACTATTGCTATAAATGTTATGAATCACCTTTTATTAATATTAATAAAAAAGTTTCATTCCCTAGTTGTATACCCGCGGCCCTAAACCAAACCAATAGATGACTATCTTAAAGAGCATATAGTATGGAGCCAAATGAAGCTCCCTCTCTGAACTTGGCTAAAAATTAAATTACGTGTTTACAGGCAACTTTTGGTGGAAAATCAACGTATTTGATTGGTTACTTCAATGGCGCTATATTTAAATTCTAACTTGTGGCTAAATTTTAAATGTAATTAGTAACGAAATCAATAACTTTGTTTTCTACTATGTATTTAAGGTACTTCTGTGGTTATGCTGTTTAGTAATTCTCAAGAAACTTTTATAAACTAAAGAAATTCGCAGATTTATGGAAAAGCAATGAGGAAAACAAATGTACGAGTTGTGTTCAGAAAATATCGGGAATTTTCGTTTTTTGAAACAAATATTTATTTATTCGTCTACATTAATGTTGTCGCCTTCAAAATAGTCCCCATTGGATATTATGCACATGTGCCAGCTCTTCTTCCAATACTCGAAACACTTCTAAAACTCGATCTTTGAGATAGCCTTTAGTTCTTTCAGCGATGCGCTTTTAATGTCATCTATGCTTGCAAAACGACGGCCCTTTAAGGTTCTCTTTATTTTTGGGAATAGGAAAAAGTCAGACAGAGGCATGTCTGGCGAATATGGAGGCTGGGGCATCATTACAGTATTGTTTTTGGCCAAAAATTTTGTTCAAAATTTAACAATTTTGGAACAAATTTTGCTGTCACGCGTTTCATACCCAAAACATTTGAAAACATTTCATGGGATGAGCCAATCGATGTATCAACATCATCAGCGACTTCTCTGATGGTTTATAACCATTTTTTCCACTTTTTCCATGGTTTTATCGGTTGTTAATGTGCTTGTGCGTTCGGGGCGTTCGTCATCTTCAACGCCTTCACGGCCATCTTGGAAACTCTTATACCACTTGTAAACTCTTGTTTTACTTATAGCAGACTTAATAGGCCTTTGTTAATATTTCACAGAATTTATTTCATTTTTTAAGCAAAATTGGATACAAATGGATCAAAGACCATTTCGAAAATCGCCGAGCTCATAAAACACGTCTAACCTTAG